TAAGGGGAATCTTGATGACAAAGATATAAGACTTAAACAGCATGGTTTATATCATGTTAAACTTATAATTCCAAAACATACATGAAACAAATTCGTATGGTATGTTGGAATTAGGTTGTTGGTTACATAAACTTATATTAAGCCAATCCAGCAACTTTATTGAATTATCGTTTACAAGCCTCTTAATAATGTTAAACTTTATTTTAAGATAATGGGTGGCAACATCACACTGAATAATTGGTATTTTATAATAGAAAAATGTAATCTTTTTAGAAAATAATGTCCATATGCTAACGAACTTATTCCATCTTCTAAGGGAACTATTTTATCATCCTGAAAGTTTAGGGCTTTCTTGGTTACTGTCTCGGGGTATATTTTATTATCTTTTGATCTTACCATATTTTGGTTTACGGCTACATCTTTATCTTCTAATACTTTTTTATAATCGTCAAAGAATAGAATAGATCCTTTTTGCTGCATATTTTTAACTCCTTTGGCTTTCTTTGATATTCCTGTACCATCAAATTTATATAAATAACATTTTGGTCTAAGTGCTAGAAATTCCATTTGGACATTTCTATTCAACAAATCTTTAAGCTTATCAATTACTTTATTATTTTCGGAAAATATTTAATGATCTCTTGGATAATCAGAGGTATCAAAACACTCATTTCTTTCATGCCTTTGTAGATGTCCAGTTTGAATGTCATAGGTTAAACTATTTGTCTTTAACGTACCCCTCACTGTATCTTTTTCATTGCATTATAGTGAAAATCGTGTATTAATGTCTGACAAATCTAGAACTGACATTTCAATATATATTGGCTTTTCACCAACTATTTCGGTTTTGTGCAAATGAATAGAAATCAAATCCTCTTTCAATATTTTTCTGAATTTGAAATTAATTTATCTACAAGTTTAAAGTTTTTTTCTCAATTTGAAATAATTATATAAGCTGTCGGTTTCTGACATTCATCTTTTTTTTTCGTACACGACATTGCTTATTAACTTAAAAAAATATTTTTCAAATTCAATTTTACTTTGCTTCGCATCTTGTGTTTAGGTCTATGTAATCTTGATAAAAGGTTTCTCTTTGAATCTAGGAATTCTATGTATTTTGGTTACTTTTATTAGAAGTTTAATGTATCTATTTAAGGTCACGTAATGAACAACGTATTTATGGTTATCTTTTAGGGTTAAGAGAAGTTTTTCCGATGATTTAATCGTGGCCGATGGAAAATCCTTATGTTTATCGTGCAATTCTTCGGTATATTTAAGATCGATTTCAAGGATGTAACCATATTCTTTTTATAAGGGCTCACAAGGATCTATAAACATGAAATCATATGGTAACAGTGCGGCTCGCGGAACTGTTACCATATAGGTTATTTGCGTCCAAGTACATTCGGTGGTTTGATGGTTTGGTTGGATTGTAATCTGGTAGATGTTCATTATTTGCTTCCGCATATCTGTGTGTTGCTTCGGTCATTCTACCTCCTATTCCGTATTCTATCATAAGGAACATATCCATATATGTAATTTCTTTTTAAATTTAACTTTAGTCAATTTTAACGTCGCGTCCTATGCTACACCTCCAGTTGTATAGTACTAACATGGGTTTGATTTATGTTTCCAGACAAACATCTCGGAAGTTCTCGAATACGTCTGCGAGCAATAAAACATCTTTTTTTAGATAAATATCCGAATATCCTCCTAGTGTTCTACAGTATTTTTATAGACGGTTAATCCTCTTTTTTATTCTCCGTTTTTTTTTTTTTTCATCTCCTGTCATTTTACTTTTAAATTTATCTTTTGAAGAAAATCCGGTTTCGCCATGTCTTTCAAGACAATCGACGTAATAATTAAACAATTACCAAACAGAATAGTGTTTGGTAATATCAGAGAACTCAAGCGAAGACATTTCCATTTTGAGAGTCAAATTTGTGGAACTATCCATATTTTGTCTCGCTTTGCTATAATGGGAGCGCGGCGGCGTCCCCACCGTGAATGAACAGTTCGTCTGCTAGAGGATCTACGCGGCAGTCATGGTGCTAGAATGTTTTGACGATGAGATTGAATTTTTCATTATTCAACGAGAGAAAACTTAAAAAAAGTCATTTTATTTGACTTCGCTAGCCCAAAAAGGAGGGGATCGTTGACGGCGAGACCAGGAACGTTCGATGAATGAATCATGTGCTACGCCAACTTTGCTTTCACAAAGTCGACGTAGCCCATCTTCGCTCCGCGCTGCAAATAACAGACACCCTACCACTACCGGCTAGGTCATCGGACAGGGTTTGAACTTGTGTCGTTGGCGCCTTCATCAAATTGGGAGAGCGACGCTTCAACCAACTGAGCTACACCACTTCACCGCAAACTCAGCCAAACGAACAATATGATTCTAAGAAAGCGTTGGTGTGTTGTTCACATTGCGTTCGTTTTCTGTTCTATTTGTCGTGAATGCGATTTGATTTTTCTCACCACCACCGTGACATATCTTCCAGGCACACCCACGAATGCTTTCATTCATGATTGATGCTTCGGCAAGCCGCTTCCCACGGCGAAACAGCAGTTAAACGAGCCGAGACGCTTCTGATGTCAGCCGCTTCGATCACACTATCACAGCTTACTGTTCGGACACTGGACTACGGTAAGGCAACAGTAATTTCGCGCATTCGCAGCCCATTCCGGAGAGCCGATTGTATTGTATCATTTGTGCAAAAACGGTTCCCTAAAACGTTCTATTGTCAAACGGAATATAGGTATACAAAAAAGTCTGCGCTGTTACATTGAACATTAAGGCCACAGCGCAGACTGATTTTTTTTTTTTTTTTTTGTAGGTCGAAACATATATCTTCGTCATTGTTCGTAAATTTCTGCAATTGGCTCTTCCGGGTGCTTTGGGCAAGCGTAGACGCTGTCAAGTTCTTCAAATGTAGACAAAACTGAAAAATAACAAATAAATCTATATTTAGATAGAAAAAAACACGCAAGAATTTACGGGCATGCCATATTACCCCAAGACGGAAACAGAGAAAAAAATGTCGCAAGTAAGATTTTTTTTTGTTGTCGGTAACGATGTTTTGGACAAATAATTTGTGGCGCAACCTGGAATTCTCCGGGAATCCAGAACGTTAGCATAATCGGCTTCACCTGGTAAAAGAGAAAAAGTTCGACTTTGCTTGTATAAAACGAGAAGATTGCTTCTCTTGCTTCTTGGAAGTGTCGTTTAAAGAAAATAGCGTCGTTAAAAAAAAACGCTTGTTCGGAAGAAGTGGAGTCACGCTTCGAAATTACGAGATGATACGTGACCACTGAGATGCAACATGGAGGATATATAGTTCCATCTTTACGAGGAGCGGACTTTATTCCGACAACGTAACACCGGCAAGAAAAAACGTCTGTGCATCCCCAAGTATATTCAATTTATTTGACACATGGTCTCAACGTCTTAAACAACATCGAATTTAGATTAGTGCTGTTTACAATGTTTCTAGTTTTCTTCTTTTTTTTTCTAGATAAAACGGAGATATACATACAAACATTTTTGACTACGCGCTTTAAAAAAAAAAACAGACCGTAGCTGTTGTATATTCATCACACATAAAGAACAAATAACGCGGATTGACACTTGATTATGCGAAGGCTATTAAAACGGGAACCTTCTCTTTCCGGATTCTGTAGAAACAGCAAAGTTTAAAATTTTGTTTTAACGTGGTCCTGACTTACTTTCTCATGAAAATAGGTAGAAACGGTTTCCAGTTCTGCACTTTAATTAAATTTAAGATGAACTTCCTGAATAATTATGTAAAACATTCATGGGCACCGGTTGCACCTGTATGAGTAATGCGTACAAAAAGTAAAAAAAACTGTATTTTTAATATTGTTTATTAAAAAAAATCGGAATCATGTTGGATTAAAACTTGTGTTTCGGCGAGTTGGTTCATGCTGATTTAAAAGGTTAAACCGCATAAACGACAAAAAGAAATCGGACATCGGTACGTACCCTCTGTCCTAATAATAATACCACATCCAACCCAACACGCTTCAAGACTTCAGTTATTATAATTCCAGCGGATTCGGACATTACATAAAAAATAATTCGGCAGATTTCTGTTGTTCCCAAGCTATTTATCACACCAAGTCGCTGAAGTGGGCAAGGTCTTGGGGAATTTATTTTTTATTTCTGAAGAATAAACTTTTTTAACGAGAAATATTTTTTTTTATTTTGATGCGTGCTCTACGTTTGATGTTATACCAATCCTCAGGATTATTACGGCTCTTCATTAAGGTGGGCAAAACTTCAATATATTACAGAGGTCGTCCACAAAGCCCAGGAGAAACAATCGTACCTAGGAATAAAAGATACACGTTCCTGGAACTCTAATTTTTAATAATAAATAGTATGTTGATTACCTCTAAAATTATTCTATTGGATTGCACGATATCTGCAGTTGTTCGTCTAAAATTAATTTTTACAACGTATTTGGGATGAAAATGTTTTTGGGTGAAATTAAGGCATGTCTTCTACCTCGTTATTTACTATTACCGTGGCAACCCGAATTCAAATGGCTCTGAACCACACAATTTGTTAGCGTTTCCGAGTCACTGTAAATCGAATGACAGCGAAATGGGTATTTATTAAGAACATCTTTCAATGGAAGAAGATTTATGCGCTTGGCTCCAACTATCAAACTCACTGTCACCTCAATGATAGAGGGTCTCGTTTTATTGTAATATTGTAATGCTTTCACGCAGATGTTGCGTATTATCCGATCTGTGTCTATTTTTATACCCTCGAAATTTAAATTAGATGTAAAATTATGTTCACAACGAATTTTGTTTACACGCGACTGTAATGAAATATATTGTACTTTGAGAAAAAAAAAAACTTGCGTTCCATGCCACGCATAACAAAAATCACAATGCAGCATTATGCAATTTCTAAACGTAAAGAACGATGATGTGGACGATCATAAAAAAAAATATATTGTACTCACAATGTAATTCCAGAAATGCATCCCATTGGAATCCGTCCCCAAGTCTTGCAAACTGAATATGTGGTGTCCTTTAGACGCCGCAAAACAGTCGACCAAGCGCAGACAGCCAAAAGCAGACGATCAACAAAAGGCGGCGAGCAGCATACTCTAGCAGACGACGAGAACTTGTTAGAAGAAGGCCGAAACTTCAGTCGGAGTCGCCGGCACTATTTTAGAAGACGAAGACGTCGCCGACGGGCGTTGCTTGTCTCATTCGAGTCACCAAGTAGAGTGCGGTTTGCCGAGCAGCTCGATCCGTACAACCACCCTTGCGAAAATCCGTAACGGAACCGACTTTCAAGCTATAAAACACGAAAAATAAAAAGGAAAAAAAACACAGGGAAGCCTCTCAGAGAGCCGTTGTGCATTCAAGCGGTCCCACGGTGGCTTCCGCCCGCATTTTTGAGAGACGGTCGGCTTGGCTCAGCTAGGCTTGACTTGGCTCGCTTTGCTTGCCCCAGGAGCCGGCTTTGGGTCGGGCTTCTTCGCTCCTTCTCCTTCCTTCAGGTCGTTCCGTCACGTGACCCGACTCTACCGGCTCAAACCACAGCCTCCGGGTATCCATACAAAATGCGGCGCGCTAAAACTAAAAGCTCGCCGGAATAAAATAAACATAAAGAACTACCAAGAAAAACATGCCCCTGAGTCGCCTCAAGCGTAGCGCTGTGTCGTGAGATAGGATGGTTCTCGCGATTCGGGTGTTTGCGTCGTCTGCTTCGTCGGTGCGTCTGAGAGATCCACTCGTGTGTCGCCGTCGCGGTTATCTCTAAAAAGTTTCGACACTCGTAACCTCAAGTTTTTTTTTTCCTTCCTTCTCAGTGCAGGCTCATCTTCACGGTGAACGCTTCCTGTGCTTTTTTTTTTTTTTTTTTTTTTTCTTTCTTTGGGTTTTTGTTGGTGAGACTAAATCCGGAATGCGTGCATGCTGGGCGTTAGTGACGAAGGTTAATGGGTTGCAAAAGGTGAGCATAACTTTACCTGTGTATATTTAGAGGGTATGGAGGGCTTTTGCGTATAAGGATAAGTGGAAATGACCACCAGGACGGTGCGATTACGTCCTAGTCATGTACACCAATCCGAATAGCGAAGGGGCTTCAGCACTTCGAAGGCTTACACTGAAAGCCGGAAACAGTTGTATATTGTACAGTCTGAGTTTTATTTTTTGTTTATTTATTCACCGGTAGAAAGCCGTGTGAAGCTCAGCAAATGTCAAAAAAGGTTATTCTTTTAGGTTTCATTCAGTTCAAATGTGTTTTTTTTTTACTCTTTAATCATTTTTGTAAGGGTGGATCTCCATACTATATGAAAAAAAAATTTTTTTGTTAGTAATACAATTGTAATATTACTGGGTGAAATCTTATAATCCACGACACCTTAAAAAACGCGGGGTTTTAGCGAGTCCCAGCTACCATGATTGATCCGCAGCCAATGAGATTTCTCCTTTAGCCAATAGAAGTACGATTCACATGGTGCGATTTTACTTGCGAATTCGCAGTTGCGACGTCGGGCACCGCAGCTTCCTTGAGGTTTCTTTATTTTTCTTTATCACACGAGTGATGTCGCAATTGCGAAATCGCAAGTAAAATTGCACCATGCGAATCAGGCTAAAGACGCCCAAGAACGAATCGTAAAGCAAAATCGCACCATGCGATCATAAAAAGCTGCGCCCAGTGTTTCTTACGTTGTCGCTGACTATAGTAGCAGACTTAATCAGCACTCTCCATAATTAACCCTCTGACGTAATCTCAGAGCTTCAGCCTATTTACAAAATCAACATCAGTCGTGCCAGACTTTGACATGCACGCCTTTTGAAACTGCAACACTGAAAAGCAAGAAGCAATTGTACCAACGCTCAAATACAACCGCGAATAAGGTCACGCATTGCGAACCCTGTACGCTACACTGCCGAAGGGAAAAGCCGTGACACTGATCCAATGTTGTCTGCTAATCTCCAACGGTTGTCTGTCGTCTGCTTCTCCGCATCGTCCGCTACTTATCGTCTGCTGTGGCGACGTCGTCTGCATTTGGAGCGTGCCCTCGTGATTGCGTGGGCGGCGATTCGAGGTCCCAAAATGACAGGGTTCGAAGAAAGTTTGTCTACGATCAGACAAGCGTGCGGTCAAATGCGAGCGCTGACCGAGACCGACTTACGAGGAAGTCGCGTGAAAAGGAACAAGAAAATCGCAGACACGCATTTTGCCAAGAGCAGACGCTGCGTCGCATCTAATCCGTTATGCAAGCCTGATTTTAGGTTCCCCAAGTATCGTAATAGTAAATTTTGAGCGAAAGAAAAACAAACAAAAGATACAAGAGAGGTACCTAGGGAACTTGTGCGGTCTTTTTATTTATTTTCGGATTACCTATTTTCGCTACGAATTTTTTTAGTCAGAGGTTTTATTAAACTCCAGCCATACTGCATCATGTTATCGAATCTTGTCGTTTAAAAATTCAGAACACCTCTATTGCTTTGCTCTTTTTTTTTTTTGTGTGTGTGGAAAAAAAAGCATCTTTAATTGTTTCAGACGCTCTATTTCATGAACATTATTTAGCCGGTTATACATACTAAAGCCGAACTTAAAGGGACGGTGCAACGATATTCAATTGGAATATTTTTCACTTTACACGAGCTTACTGGCACTAGTGGGACTCAAGGATACTCGCACGAAACGCCACTGACCAAGAAACTTCTTTGTTGCGCTGTAATTTCGAGGAAAAAACCGAGTGTTTTCATTCAATCTCTCCTTCGCAAAACCTGATGACGTAGCTCGGCGGTAGGAGTACCGCCCAGTGACGATATTTGAATGCGGCTCATAGATTGGACCCGAGCATGGCGTGGACGCTCGATTTGGGCTCGTGATAATCGATAGCTCGAGAATCATTCGGGTAGTGTCCGGTGTCCAATCGCTGCAATGACGACAACAACCGAACCATAACAATGTCTAAAACTCAGCGCGTGTCTTGTGCCTTGCCAACCCCAGCGCGAGGCTATGATCAACACTGGCGCCATATAATCGGCTCCCGATCACGTGGCCGCTTGTTCTGGCTGCGAGTTGAAGGGTTAACTCTGCTCGTTTTTCTTGAATTTTTTTCTGCGACTTCGATTGCGTGTGGTGAAAAACGAACGGGTATTTCACAGGTCATTTACGTCAGGGATCCGTTCTAAGCGGTATTTGCGCAAAATACCAAAATCGTTGCTTCGCCCCTTTAATGTTTCATCCACACTGAATGTTCCAGTCAAACTAGAGCTATAAGCGCAATGAAATGTCCAGTTGACCAAAGCTAGCCCTAGCCCTTCAGACGTCACCGAGCACACAGGAAGAGGAAATAAGAGTAAAGTGGGTTGCATGAAAATTTAGATGGCTGGAAATTATACTGCCCCGTTAGGGCGCCTAATGTAATGCTGTAGATGAGAAATTTAGCAAGGGCAGTACGGCTTCGATAGCCAGGAGCCTATAAAGTTTATCAAGGAGTTGTGATACATAAACGCACAACAATATGGTGCTCATCCGCAGCAAGCGGTGTTCGAACCCAGGACCCGAGTTCTGAGGTGCGATTTTTCGCAGCCCGAGCTCCGAGCTACTGTGCGATACCATACTCAGCCGCAGTCAAAAGAAGCAAATCGAATTACACATTAGTTGTTTACTGATCTTAGGTATATACGCTAAATTGATGCCTTAAAAGTTTCAGATCGAAAAAAAAATGAACACAAATTCGTTCCTTTCATCTTCTTTTTGCGATATTCTGGCAAATGCAACGATAACACAAAATTTATTGCGTGTTTCTTTGAGGTAATGTTGCGTAGATGAACCTGGTAGGTATTTAGTGCCTTAAGAGTCTATCGGCAGTGGCCTAGTCACGCGCCTGGGTTCAGGCTGACAAAGACAAAAATCCAATAAAATTCCTTCGGTGTTGTTTTAATCCACGTCAGCGACGTCTCATACGTGAAACATGGTGTCTGAAGTGTTCGAGCCGAAAGCCTAAACGTGAAAATCTACTGCATGATGGAACACCCGCCCCCTCCAGAGCACCTGCAGCCTCTCGGAAATAGCGGCCGAGAATCGGAAAACATTTTGGCAAACTTATTAAGCTCTACTTCGATGCAACTTCCAAAGAAACAGCAACAGCAAGTGGGCGGACGGAAGCTCAGAAGGCTGCAATTTTCCTGTACGTCGTTGCACAGAAAGCGATTAACGTCTACAATACGTTTCAGCTCGCACCTGGTGACCACGAAGACTATGATATGATCGTGCGTAAGTTCGAAGAGTACTGCACTCCGAAGAAAAACGAAACGTGTGGGCGATGCGTGTTTCAAGCGCGACATCAGCAGGAAGGAGAGCCTTTTTGACAATTTCTTCGCGACGTCGTGCTCAAGGCTCAGACGTGTGACTTCGGCGACCTAAAGGATTTCACGGTTCGTGACCGGCTCTTGTATGGAACTGCAGACACCAAAATACGGGAACACCTGCTTTGAGAAAAAGAGCTGACCTTAGACAAAGCTATCGACTTCTGCAAAGCCGCAGAATTCGGTGCCACGCAAAACAACGCTTGGGGAAACCCTAGTGTCCGGGTGGGCCCCTTTTCTCAAGAAACTACCAGGCTAACAACACAACGATGAGAAGCGCAGACAAATTCGTCGATGAGGTTTCTGCAACAGCACCCAACAGTCAAGAAAATGATCAGGCTGGGGTAAAACCTGCAGAATCTGCATGAAAAAAAATCATGTCGCCGCATGTTGTTAACAAAAGACAACATTTCATGAGGTGGAACACCAAAGTTCAAGAGACGAGGAAGAACAAGAAGATTACTTTCAAATTCGAGACATCAATATAGTAGAGGTGTCGAGTCAGAGTGATTGGTTTGTAAAAAGAATGTTGGAAGGGCACTCTGTGCATCTCAAGGTTGATACAGGAGCTCAAGCTAACTTGCCTTTCGAATTCCTTATTCACCAAAATCAGTCAAAACAAAATCTTGCGCTCGTGTAACATGCAGCTGACAAACTATGGCGGAAGAGCCATTCAGCACTTTGGCATGGCGGCTCTGCTTTTACGAATGCAAGGTAAACGAGAAATAATTCAATTTTTGCTGTCAAAAGAGGCAAAGCTCTTCTAGACTTCAAGCCAGCGAAGCTTTCGGGCTCGTCTCATGTGTGCATGAGCTCTCCACTGCACAGACACTGAAACAGCATACTGCCAAGGAGTTCATTAAGTCGGTTGAAGGAGTACGATGTTCGCATCGAGTTCATAAGATGACTCTCAAGGAAGCTGCACGGCCAGTGATTCAGTTTGCAAGGCGCGTGCCGCATGCTCTGCGAGAGCCGCTCCAGCTGGGGCTAGAACAGATGGAAGCAGCGGGAATCATCACCAAGAAGGACGAACCTTCAGATTGGGTAGGCCTTCTCATTGTAGTGTTTCAAAGAATGGCATTTTACGGATATGCATGGATCCCTGTCATATAAACCAAGGCTTAAAACGAGAACATCGTGAGTTTCCACGTCGGCAGGACATTGAGTCTGAGTTGGCCGGAGCTCAGTTTTTTTAGTAAATTAGACGCAAATGCTGGACTTCATCAAATTCCTCTTGATGATGCGACATCCAAGATATGTACGTTCGGTACGCCGTTTGTGCTATATCGACTTTTTCGTTTACCATTTCGTATTGCATCAGCACCAGAGGTGTTTCAGAAAACAATGAGCCAAGCATTTGACGGCTTGCAAAGCTTACATGTCTACATCGACAATGTGTCTATCTGGGGTTCCTCGCGCGAGGAGCACGGACTAACAGTTATCTTGAAAGCTGCAAAAGCTGCAGGATTAACACTAAACTTAGACAAATGCATGTTTGGAGTCGAACAAATAAATTATCTCAGGGATCCTGTGTTCGATCCTCACCCCTTGCCGTTTCGAACTGGATGGACATCGTAGCGGAACGGCCGTGGTAGCGGCGTGCGGTCACGTATCACTAGTGCGTGGCACACGTTAAAGACCCCAGGCTATCGGTTGTACTGCACTGGCTAAATTTCTCATACAGCCGGCACACAAGACGCCCATCGAGACTGACTCACTTCCGGTTGTCTAAAAATACACACAACACACCTCGCAACTTTCACGACCTATAGGGGGCGCACTAGCGCTTGTCAAAATGACTGTCATCTGGATGAACGTCACAGAACAGCAGTACGAGGCTGGAACTGCGACGCGTAAGCATATTCGAGTTTTACTATATAAGAGCAGTACTAGAGCCTTACTTTATTTTTCCACACCAGGAAGGTGCGTGCGAGCACCTTTATTATGAAGCCGATCATTCAGGAGCTAGGGAGCGCGATTCTCACAGCAAGGTACCACCATCGCTGAAATATGCAAATTATTAACCACTATCGTCGTCTAAGGCGAAAAGGAACGTCGCCAGTCGGCACAACCACCTCCACATTCACACAACCTCACTTCAAAGAGAGGAGTTACACATGGGCTAATCCTATCTTATTCGAACCTCCAATGAACTGGATAAACGAAACAAGAACAATAAAAACATTTTAATATGCCCGTGGCCACTTCTCCACATAAACAACACGCATATTTAGACAATTATCCTGACGTGGCACAAATAGTCGGTTGCCCTTTTTAAATAAGGTCAGATGCTGTACCTTTTCGTTAAAGAATTCATGCTGCATCAATTTGCGGAAAGGAGAGCTTCGTCCCACTACACAGTGTACTTTCCCTCTGTCAAAATTTTAATATTGGAGTCTGTTAATATTTCAAAACACGTATTGAATTCTATATTGCCTCACCGAACAAACCCGTATCGCGCGGAGCAATGAAAAAAAAAAAAAAACACGGAGTCACGCTTTACAAACGTATTTATTGCCTTAACATACAAAACTATAGTAAGCTACCTTTTTCTGGTCACTCCAACCAGCCCCCACCGATACCGCGACATCGGCGTTTCAATAATAACCGCCGGAAATGTCTGCGGAGACAAAGCTCCCTGCCGCAAGGCTGATTCTTCAGGTCGGGGCAGGTCTCGTTGTAAATGTAATACTTCTGACCTGTCCCGCAGAGGAGATCGAAGACGAATTCGCAGCACGTTTCGTTCCTTCCCAGGGCGCTCTCGGGAACGAGGAGGGTGCATGCCCATTCTGCACCGTTGGAAAAGAAATCGTTCCTGTTCGATAACTTCATCATCTCGAGATCTCATATCATTAAAAAAAAATACATTGACTTGTAGATAATCTTATTTTACTTCCCCTGTCGCCCTTGTAAAGTCGAAACTACCGCCACCACGCCGAGAAACCAAGAGAGGCTTTTTGTCGATCTGACCTATTTTTAGGTGACAAAGTTTCAGTGACTTGGTTTGTTAACGTCACTCCCTCTGAAAGCCCTTGCACTTACATTTCCCCAGGACGCACATGATACGCCATTCAATACTTCGATTTTAATCTGTCTGATAAATGAGATGTGGGGAAACCGTTTCACCCTACAGCGGTCATGAGCCTTCAGCGGCGAAACAGGTGGAAGCCCTTTTGCCACTCAAACGGCACAACCATCGGAGCACGATACCCGTCCTCCCTATACCGTCTCCCTAACAAAGCGGGCCTTCCCGCCCGCTTTGTTTAGGATTGTAAAATGAGGCCATTTTCGTCGCGACGCTTGTTTCTTTTAACACGCGATGCTATAGCGTTCTGAGCTTAAGATATACTATCGTATTTCATAAAATATATCGCGTTTAATATTGCATTTTAAAAAAGCGGAGCGTCTACGAACCTCTAATATGTGAGCGAAAATACTTACCACCAGCGTAGATGTTTCTGAAGACTGTGCACTGATGACAGTCCAGATACGCAACATAAACTGTCAACGAAACGTTTTCTAAAAAAAAAGGGGGAAAAAATCGATATAAGTTATGGTCCGTTCAACACTTCTACAATAACCTCGATGGAGCAGATATTGATGTTTTCAACCCAAATTTCGTAGCTTTTAGGGATTTGTAACTAACCTGTGAACATTTTGTTGTGCATCATTATCAAGGCGTCAAGCTCTTCATGAGCATAAAAAATAATCCAATGAATGAATGAATATCGTAGATATTCATTCATTCATTGGTCATCTCGCAGGTCATCTCAGATTTTCAAAAGCGTACTTTATGACCCGCAATTAATTATTTTGGATCGGCATGCACCGTACAATTAACAAATATGTCCACGCATGTCACTCATGCCAAGCAAAGAGCTACGCCTCCTTGCCCTCTATGAGCAATTTATACACCGACAAACCCATTTGGTTCCGTGGGACTCGACTTTCTCGGTCCCTTCTGCGCGTCAAAAGCAAAGAATTTATGGATAAGTGTAGCCATCGATTACTTGACACGGTACGCCTAGAGTTCCCGTATAGGCTCCCTACGGCACCCAGAGTTGCTTGTTCACCCCGTAGCACCGGCTTTCTTGCACGGCATTCGGAGTCTGCTCCTCACGTGACTGAATTCGGCGAATAGCGGCGCCGCGCGTTCGCGGTGCGCAGCGCGCTCAAAAGCAGAGGAACGTACGCCGGGTCGCGTGCACCGTCTACTTTCCTGCACGAAATTTGTGCTCCTCACATGATCGGATCTCTGCGAATAGCGGCGCGGCGGCACGTGAAAAACAGACGCGCAACTCTGGCTTCCAATAGACCGATCTCACCAAGCCAGAGCTCTGCACCAAGACTTCGGAGCACGCGTGACGCCGCCATAACTTTAGTTCACCGGAGGCAGATGGCAGTGCGCGAGGGTTCGTGGCGTCTCGTGCTCTACACGCGCAGAACTCTAGCGGGGTTATCGCACGTGCAGAAAGACTAAAGTTCCCTCGATGCATTGCGGCAGCGGTGGCGTAGTCAAACTGGCTGCTGAGATCGGCCTATTCAGGAACTCAAGAAGGCAGGGCGAGGGTAAGACGGGCCGGAGAGGAGGATGCAGACGGAACGCTAAAGAGAGGAGGCGGTTTCCCTCTCTCTTTTCCAGGGTTCCGTCTGCTTCCTCCTCCCCTGCCCCTTCTTACCCTCGCCCTTCGTTCTTGAGTTGCAACGGACTATTCACGACGTGAGCGATCGAAAGCGTCGCTGTGGTCGGCCCACCACAATTGGTCGAATGCTGACTATGACGTCAGCAAAGGATGTCTCATCGACGGAAATAAGAGGAATGTAGGAACTTCAATTTTGTCGGTGTTGGCAGTGTTGCTTTGAGAGCGCCATGAGTTCAGGCCTCCACCATGCCCATTACAAACACCATCGAACTTGTTGTTCACAAGGTAGTGACGTCACGAAAGGTAACCGAACGAGGGCTCTACCGAAACATTTCGCCGCTAATAGGTACGCCGAAACCAAAGCGCCCCCCGCTGCCACGGCCCTTCATGCAGCCGATTGTTTCTGCATTCCATCTTCCTCGGACGTAAAGAGCTCCCCAGTCCATTATTACAGATCGCGGTACACCATTTCTTGCAAAGCTCTCTCAAGAAGTCTGTCGTCTCGCCTGCACAATTCACCACATTACTATACTGCCTATCATCCCGAAACAAATGTATCGGCACTGCAAAACGCTTCAATAATACACTAGCCGACATGAATTCCATGTATGTTGCACATGACCGCGACAGTTGGGACTTCATTTTGCCTTACGTAACATACGCCTATAATAATAGAAGTCAGGCTACCATAGGCTGATCCTCGTATTATTTTATATGCGCAAGAACCGTTGGCCACCATTGAAACCCTCTCAACATACACCGACGACTCTTCTCTTGAAACGTATGACCTAGAGCAACTAAATGAGCTGCGCTTAGAGTATCGGCACTCTGTTCCCCGACATTGTTGTGGGCACCGCCATTTGGGTGCCTTTGCAGAGCAGACGCAACTGCCGATCGTCATGATTCAAAAGTGCGACTTGCTCAGCATTAGATTCGGTGTTAGGAAGGTCATGTAATATTGCTTTGCTCTGTCGCGAACTGTTTGAACATTTCTGGAGGGCGAAAAGGCGTTTCATGTGATTTCAGATAAGACACAATATGGGCAAGTGTCGTTACTCTGAAGCGTAGCTCATTAAGTGGCACTAGTATGACCAAGATATCCCCTACAGCGCCGAAGAAGTTCGACAACCGTCCCGCATCCGCACCTTGGAGTTACAGCAGCAACAAATGATTCGCCACGCCGAAAACCATACTCCAGTGTCCGACAAAAATTGCCGGCGAGGCTTTCCTCTAGATACCTTCCCGCATATCCAAAAAATGCAACAAAAAAATCTTCGAAGATTTTTTTTTCAAGAATCTTTTATCAGGGGCCCTAATCTGGACACTGCGAAAACGTCGGCGAGAAATCCGGCGGCTCTGATTGGCCGGCGGCGTTATCCAATCAGGGCCGCCACATTTCTCGCCGACTTTCTCGACAACTGTCCGGATTAGGGCCCTAATTATCCACGGACTATGAAGTGACCCCAGTTCTCCCGCCACGCGACAACTGCAGTGAATCTCTTGACATCGTCCACGTCGCAAGTCAGAAACCCTATACCACCGTCAAACCCCTTCATAACCTATATATGGCTGCTGAACCGGCTCTTTTTGAACGGAGATGTAATAGTCCTTTTGAAACTTCCGCGCCATCGCCTGTCCGCCATTGCTTGATCACGTTCACTGATCACGTATTGAACACGAAGGCTTCGTCAGCGTTCGGCGTGAACTCGGCTTAGCTCGTATTGGACCCGAGCGCCGCGTCACCGCTTGGCGAGGACTCGGATCCAATCACGCACTCCATATCCAAGAAATGGCACCCATCAATGTGACTCGATATGGACTTTTTAAATGGTTCTATTGACAGAAAAAAAAAGTGAAGCTCATGAGATATAGCTAGGACCGCGCAACTTGTGTTTGGCGAAATTCTGCTTGTTTGTTGTTTTTGTCGTTGTTCTTTAGCGCGTGAAAGAGAGCCTCCTTGCGCGGGCTTTTGGGTTTTACCACGGCCGGTATGGAAGCGCGCGCTCTCTTTCTCTTCTTACGGCCTTTGCAATCGCCCGGGAGTCAATGGCATTTTTTCTCCGTATGTAGTTCACTTGCTTGTCGCCAGGGCGCAACCACCTCACCCCACCTAACCCCACTCGTAGAGTTCCTTCGAGCTGCTTTGCGCTGGTGTTCGAGCTTCGTAGGTTGTTGTTTTGGCAATGGTTTATTGAACTTCGCTTCGATTTAAGTCACTCTACCGACAGGCAGTGTCGTCAGCAAACTGCGTTCCCCTGTGACGAAAAATCAGCTGGATATGTGCACAAGCCCTCGAGGAAGCACTTTAAGCTGTAATATGCACTGTGCGAAAATTGTATAGACTACTACACTCTCGTCTAGAGCAGCTGACCGACTTCATGTGCGGCCTATGAAATGATGATGCAGACCACAGCAATAGATAGATTGGGCCTGACTTACATTTCACGAGAGCGTTCGAATTATTTATCATTTAAAGTTGCTCCACGTAGAAGGGGTCCGTCTCCTCCTGTTCTTGAGTTGCAACGGAAGTCCTGGAGGTAAAGGCGAGTATAGTTTTTCCGCAATTGCATTCGCTGTCTCTACTTACCACTTTTTACTGCCGATTCTCTCGGATATGTGCGTCAAATATTCACCGTTTTGGGCTCATCAAAAGCGCATTAGTTAGTAGCTGAGGGTCTAAACGTAAGGATAAGGCGTCAAAGGCTATACAAATCTCGGCCGCAAGTTGCGACAGCGCTGAGATTGCACTGTCAGACGCGCTCTGTGCAAGCGGCAAAGGTTAGCCCAGGGGTGAGGTGACAGCGCCCCCCGCGAATTGTGGCGGGAGGTGGCGATTGCCCCAATTGCTAGGCCGTAAGAAAAGAAAGAGAGAGAGCGCTTCCAGTCCGGCCGTGGTTTGACATTGCTACAACATTTTCTTTTCGGTGTTTTTTTTTGTTTTTTTTTTTGCATTTTCATTGTGAGCGCGCGCTGTCGGCATTGGGTACTACCGTACCACATAAAATGGCATTACCCTAAACAAGAGGACGTTAAGGCACCCTACTTCGAACAGTCTGGCAGACACCGTTATAGTCGAACCCTCATTCAGTAAAGTAAACCCAACGATTCATCCACAGTCTTAAAATATTTCACAGAATTTAGATATTTATTGTTCTAGGTTTTACTCACGTCCTGGTGCTTGCATGTGTATAACGTTTTTCGCAGTATATCCTTCAGATGATGAGAGGGTACCTGTTAGATTGCTGTAAAAAGAGCGCGAGTAACAACCAAATTTATTCATGGGGTACACTGTGCTCATACCGCACTATATGTAAACAAGAAGAAGAACCTGTCGTTCACCACCTTGTCATGTAAGAGCAATAAAAGGGCATTCACCCGAGTTAGCTGTTCCGTAACTTTTTTATATCCTTAATCTAACTGTGTTTGCGCCATTGTCTCCGAGTTCTAACCAAGTTTCGTACTTTATTAGTTATCGGTTAAATATTTGAAATACAACACTTAAAAGAACACTGAACTCCCAATAGAAACATTTTTTTAAGTGTCCGGATAAAACACGTATGTTGAAAAATAAGCTTTAAAAAAAATCAGCGTGGTTGCGAACTTTGAGTTAGGACCAGTTCAGAAATCTGCGTTATTTCGGCCACTTCGGACCGACACATACACCTATTTCGGAATCGCTCCTAAAGACACCGAACACCCCCAAAGTTATTCTTCCAGTTAGGTATCAAAATAAACCGTCCTCCACCCCCGCCCAAAAAAAAAAAAAAAAAATGGTAGGTTGGGGGGGGGGGGGGGGGCAATACTCACTTCGCGAGACATATTTTTCTTTGGGATAATTTTCGACACGGGCTGTATTTCGGTACGCATACCCGAAATAAATATCATCATTTGGAATGGCTCAAATAGACCGATCTCACCAGCTAATTTGAGTACGCCACCGCTGCCGACATGCATCGTGGGAGCTGTAGTCTTCCTGCACGCGCGACAACCCTGCTGGAGGTCTGCGCGAGCAGAGCACGAGGCGGCATGAGCTATCTCGTGAACTGGCGTCTGCCTCCTACGAACTACAGTTATGGCGGCGTCACGCATGCGTGGAACGCTTGGTGAGATCGGTCTATTCGCGACATGCGCTAAAGAAATACGAAAATTTATTTCGCGAAATTTTTTTTTACGAAAGAGTTGCACATAAAGAAAAAACACAGACAGCACATCTTTCGTAAAATATTCTTTGCAATACGAATGCGCTCCCTAAAAGACTGTTTATGTTGTGGTATGCCTGTTTCATGCAGCTACTTTAAGCAAAAAATCATTCGGGAGGATTTCACTGCCTCTTTAATTATGCGCGCTAGAAACATTATTATCTATGTACTACACATAAACAGGAACAGAGTGATTACTGGATTGTCTGGATTGTTCTTTAAAGAATTTAAAGAAAGACATAACTTTGTTTGTTTTTTTTCCCAAGAACTGTAAAACATTCAAACTAAGTAATGTCACCCCTGTTTTCGTGTGTGCTCGTCGTGTTTCATGCGACCCAAGAGATGGCGACGCCACATGCCGAATCGCAAACTACCGGGCCAATTAGCTTCGTCATCATTAATCTGTCATGTGTACAATGATCACACGAGGGAACAAGCAGCTCAGTTTCTTTATAACAAATAGAGTATTCATGCTCAAATTGCCCATTGAAGTTTCAAGATAAGAGCCCCCTGCGTATTTGCTGGTTCAGCCTATAATTAAGCTTTAACGGAATGTGCTGTCTGTCACTAACAGTGTCCTATGTTTTCATAAAACAATATATATATATAGCCGCAACAAAGAAAGTGTAAACCAGAAGTGGTGCCATACTGTCACGGGTGGTGACCGAAAGAACAATAAATAAACAGGAAGAAATAAACGTTTAATGTGGCGAGCTTGTGCCAAAAATAAAAAGGCTCAAAAGATAATAACAAAGCGTCGCGGGCGTCGAAGTCGGCGTAAGAGCAGAGTCGAACGCTGGGGCGAGACTGACTCCGGTCGCCTTGTGGAGTCCCTTATGCACCCTCGTTGGTGTCTGGGTCATTCGGCGTAGAACTTTCGGTGCGTAAAACAATCGCAACACGATCAGGCGAGAATGTTCTCGAACTTACGAGAAGGCCAAGTTGAAAGAATAAATAAAATGACAGTCCGCTGATTGGAATCGAACCTATACCCTCCGCGCGACAGTCAAGCACGGTAACCACTCGGCCACGCACGCTCTTGCTCTCCAATTTTTTTTTTTTTTATTGCATGGGAATAGAGGACGAGAGGACACACCATAGGTTAGCACAGGCAGACATTACGGTCTAGAACACTTTCATATTCATTAAGCTGGAGAGCAGAGGCAACCAGTCGGGCAGAATTTCGCGACACACGTATATACTTTTGATTTGGGCTACACACTGAGTAAAATAAAAACTCACAGGTTTTGGTGCCTGACTGGCGTTTCTTACATCCATCCGAGATTTCCATGTACTATATAAACCCAAGAGCATAATGAGATCATACGGCACAGTGTCTTCCGAAGAAACAGGCAGGAAACGTATTGAATGCGGTGAAATGTTAAGGTCGTTTTTCAACGTGCGCTGCAGGACATCCCAGAAGAAAATTGCGTCCCAGCAATCAATAAAAACATGTTCTGTCGTTTCTGGTGTTTTGCACAGTTTAAAAGCGCATCGTCTCGATGAGACGTGCCAGGAAACAAAAACAGCAAACAAACAAAAATAATGGCAAACTACGCAAACTTGTGCAACTCAATCCTATCAAGCGTATTACAAAACACAATTCACAGTCCTATAGCGATCGTAGTACGGCTTGAGGCGCACGACGTGGACGACTTCCGGTGGTGGAGGGCGGCGTGATGAAGTCCGTGTTCCTCTGGGGCACTTTGTAGGGTCCGAGGTATCGCTTCAAGAGTTTCTCGCTTAGGCCGCGTCGTCGTATCGGGGTCCAAACCCACGCGGTCTCCGGGTTTGAAGTGAACGTCGATCCGGCGAAGGTTGTACCGGGTAGCGTCGACACTTTGTTGACCTTGAATTCGGAGTCGGGCGAGCTGGCCAACTTCCTCGGCTCATTGAGCAACAGCCTGGGCGTCGAGGCTTCCATCGTCAGCTGGTTCGTGGGGTAGCATCGCGTCGAGCATGGTCGTTACTTTTCTGCCATGCACCAGCTGAAACGGTGTTACTCCTGTGGTCTCTTGTACCGCCGTGTTGTAAGCAAACGTGACGTAGGGTAACACATCGTCCCAAGTCTTGTGCTCTACGTCGACATACATAGAGATCATGTCGGCGATAGTTTTGTTTAGCCTTTCTGCTAGTCCATTTGTCTGCGGATGGTACGCAGTGGTTCGACGATGGCCGGTGCCACTGAGACGAAGTATCTCTTGCGTCAGGCCATGAACGAAGATCCACGGTCTGTGATGAGAACTTCAGGGGCGCCGTGCCGGAGGACAATGGACTCGATGAAAAACTTAGAGACTTCAACAGCCGTGCCTGCTAGAAGGGCTTTCGTCTCGGCGTACCGTGTGAGATAATCGGTGGCGACGATTATCCAGCGGTTTCCCGACGTTGCCGGCGGGAAAGGGCCAAGTAAATCCATTACGATCTTCTGGAACGGCATAGACGGGGGAGAAATCGGATGCAGAAGTCTCCACGGCTTTGTCGGCGGTTTCTTGCGTCGCTGACACTCGTGGCATGATCGAATGTAGAGGTGAACGGTCTTCGGTAGCCTCGGCCAGTAGTACTTTTCGCGAATCCTGGCGAGCGTCCTGCTGTAGCCAAGGTGTCCAGCCGTTGGGTCGTCATGGCATCCTTGGAAGATTTCGTCTCGAAGGCTGGCAGTAATAACCAACAGCCATGCTGTGTTGTTGGTGATGAAGTTCTCCAGGGAAGGGAAGTCCCTTGACGCATGGAGAAGGTATGCAGGATTCTTAAGAAAGCGCGGGGAACCGTACTCGCTTGTCCCTCTAAGCGCTCAATGAGCGCTCGCAGTTCGGGGTCGTCTCGTTGGAGTGTTGCCATGTCGCTGACGTCCAAAGCGCCGAGGAAAGACTCCTCGTCGTCGTCTTCGATACAGGCAGGACCGGCCTCGACAGGAGGGAGCTCTTGACAGGCAGTCGACGTCATTGTGCTTCCGGCTGGACTTGTACAGAACGGGCATGTCGAACTCCTGCAGTCGTAGGCTCCACCGGGCGAGGCGTCCGAAGGGGTCTTTCAGATTCGCGAGCCAACAGAGCGAGTGCATGGTGGTCCGTGACCACGCGAAAAGGACTTCCATACAAATATTGGTGAAACTTTTTTATTGTCCAGACGACAGCAAAGCACTCCTTTTCAGTTGTTGAGTAGTTCCTCTCGGCCTTAGACAGCGTCCGACTCACGTATGTGATGACTCGCTCTGCCCCGTCCTGCCTTTGAACTAGCACCGCGCCAAGTCCGGTGTTACTGGCGTCCGTGTGGATCTCTGTATCAGCGAACTGGTCGAAATGACCAAGAATTGGAGGCGTCTGGAGTCTTCGTTTCAGCTCATCGAATGACCGCTGGTGTTCTTCTGTCCATTCGACCTTTACGGCGTCCTTCGTGAGGTGCGTCAGCGGTGCGGACAGCTTGGCGAAGTCCCGAACAAATCGTCTGTAGTAGGCAGAGAGTCCGAGGAATCTACTCACGGCCTTCTTGTCAGACGGCGGCGTAAATGCAGCTACGGCACGCGTCTTCTCGAGGTCAGGGAGAACACCTTTGTTGTTCACGACGTGGCCAAGGAATTTAAAGAATTTCTGACACGCCAAAAAAATAATTTTTTTTTTTCATGCTAGGCGTTGAAATGGCATGTCAGGACATTACAAAAAAATTGTTTCACTATACAGGTGCGTAGTTCTTTTTATAAAAATAGAAATACGAGGCCCAATTCAAAGTTCCTGCCAGTGCACTGTGACGTAACAGTGTACCGCAAGGTGTCGGGGCGGTCAGAAGGGAGGCATCGCCGGAAGTCACGTGAGTTTCATCCCTCCTCGTGCTTACTGCGAGCGCGTGTAATATTTTTTTTTTATATTTTTGTTATTCTCCGCACCACCACGAGCGATCCAAGCAGACAAGGTTTCTTTTAATTGCTTTTCATCGCTCAATGTTGCTGTAAAGGTAGAAGAGAAATCAGTCAATTGACGTGATCAACTACAATGCCTAGAAGGTGCTGTGTGAGGGACTGTCCCCGTATTTCAGCAACTGAAGAAGAG